CGGTGCATGCTGGGAGAGAACACAGGTAATGGGGGGACACGGTGCATGCTGGGAGAGAACACAGGTAATGGGGGGACACGGTGCATGCTGGGAGAGAACACAGGTAATGGGGGACACGGTGCATGCTGGGAGAGAACACAGGTAATGGGTGGACACAGTGCATGCTGGGAGAGGGGGAAACAGAATAGTTTATTACTGCAGGGTTTCTATCTGTCGATCAGCCAATATATTTCTTCAGCTACATATAGAGATTGAATAACTTACTGCTTTTCAGGTGACCTTGAAGGCACAGATCAGTGGCCTGGCCCATCGGGGGCCCGGGAAATTTCCCCGTGGGCCGTCAGCACCTGGGGCTGGGCGGCCGCAGGGGGAGCTGTGCGGTCTCTGCTCCCCCGCCCTCGGGCTCTACTTAATGAGACCGGGGCTGGAATATGATGTCATATTCCAGCCCCGTTTTCAATAAGCTGCACGCTGGAGAGCAGAGCAGAGACTGCACAGCTCCCCCTGCGGCCGCCATCACAGACAGCTGTCTGCCCACAGGTAGTAATTATGTGTCAGTATTAGTGTATGTGTTTGTCTGTGTCATGGTGTGTGTGTGTGTGTGTCTGTCATGGTGTGTGTGTGTGTCTCTGTGTCATGGTGTGTGTGTGTCTGTCATGGTATGTGCAGGGCAAACAGGGCAGCTGCCCGGGGCCCAGTTACTCATGGGGGGCCCAAAGCCAGTGACCAAACCCATGGACTTCAGCACCTGATATAATCAGAGACTCCCTGGCTGTGTGTGTGTGTCACTGTGTGTCACTGTGTGCATCTGTGTGTGTGTGTGTATCTGGCTGTGTGTGTCACTGTGCATCTGGCTGTGTGTGGGTGTACATATCTATGTAAGCGTGTATCTTTGTGTGTGTATGTGCTAGTGTATCTGTGTGTCAAGGTGTGTGCATGTATCAGTGTGTTTGTGTGTAACTGTGTGTTAATGTGTATGTATATCTGTGTTAGTATGTATGTGCATACATCCCTGCAAACACAAACATTACATACAAACCACCCCTTCACTCAAACCAACTCTACACACAAAAGCACACTTGCATTTAAAAGCCACTACATTCAAACACAAACACTACACACAAGTACACCACTCAATTCCAATAGTAGCAGTACATACAAATACACCCCTACATGCACACACATACTCTATACAAAAACATGCTTGCATTCAAATGCACAAACACTGCTCACAAATACAACCCTACAAGAATGGCCAAATGGTAGATCCCCAGCTGGCATAGTATTGTGGGAGTTGTATGACAGCTGGGGATCTATATTTTCTCTACTCTTGGACTAGAGGGGAGGCCACAAAAATTATTGCACCAGGGCCCTTTCTACATTAGTTCCATCAGTAGGTTGGAGGCTGTGATTGCATGCAGGGAGCTGGGGGTTGGGAGAGGTGGGGCATGGTCCAGGGGGCCCAAGCAAATGCTTGCCCAGGGTCCAATCACTATTAAAGACAGCCTGGGTATGTGTGTGTCTGTCATGGTGTATGTGTGTGTTTTTTTAAAAATAGTGTTTTTACTCACCTTTTTTCTTTTCCCCCACGCTGTGCTGGTCTCCCCTCGACTGGCCCTGCCTCTATGGCTGGAACCATACGAACGCTGTAAACAGCCGTATAGGAAAAAAACATACAAAAGGTTTACACTCCTAGCAGTCGAACTGGAACAGCGTACAATAAATCCCCCCAAGAACGAGACAAAGCACCGTGTTGAGGGTCAAGCAGTGAACAGACAGAGCTGTGTCTTTATTGTTCTTATATACACATTCTTACACATTAGTACCACCCACAGGGTTTTGGAAAACAACCAATAAACACGTACAATACACTCAGACACTCCCACACAAACTCCTCCCCTTTGCCTGTGATACAATTATCTTACACAATGGGTAATGTAATTGTCACAGGCAGAGAAACAGTTTTTCCACATTATTAAGAATTTTAAAAGTATGCCTCACATTCACATACCAATTGGTCCAGTGGTTCAAAAGATAGATCGTAGTCCTTTGTGACCAAAAGAAGCATGGCTTTTCTGCCCAAAACCAGTTCCACAGAGTCTTCTATCCTGGAGATAATTGGGAAGTAATCCAATTATCTCCAAGGACATAGGAAAAACTCCATTGAACACATGGCAGCAAAAGACAATAAAATACATAAAAATATATAGCTGTGCAGCCATTGCATAAAACAGGTACATTCAACATATCCCCAGATAGCTCAGATCTGAGCGCACATTATTACTGAATGGTGCTCAGATAACACACATACAGTATAATTGCCATGGAGCCAAAGTCTTTCCCATAGTCTTTCATTATACGAATGGGCTCCATGGTATAGCTATCTGGGGTATCACCGCTCAAACAGGGCAAGCACCGAATGACCCGGCTTTCGTGTCTTTGCAGGGGAAAATCAAGCATTTCGACATGGGGCCATAGTCTAAAGGGAGCAGGCGGGCAACCATGCTCCTCCAATGCACTGTGGCGAGATTGCTCTCGTCACATCTCTCCCCTTTTCCAGACAGACTAACAGGGTATCTGACCTCATGCCGGTCAATGCCCTGGTTAGTCCAGCAGCCCACCCCCGAAGCACAAACAGCAGTACAGCCCACCCACAATAACTGGTTACTACACCTGGGTAGAGGAGAAACTTGTCCTTGTTCAGGTTCCTCACCACGGCTATGTGGGGGACTGGTAGGCTGAATGGGAAGAGACCAGCGGTACTCTGCCCTGGTGCCAGTGCTACCGTGGAAGTAGCCTGGTTGGAGCCTGGTTGTGGGAGGGGGAGACTGATTGTCTCCCCTTTGGATACACAGCTCTGCTGCTGGAGGGGGAGACAGACTGTCTCCCCTTTAGATACACAGCTCTGCTGCTGGAGGGGGAGACCGGCTGTCTCCCCTTTGGATACACAGCTCTGCTGCTGGGGGACAGGACCGACCGTCCCTTTCCCCTGTGCTGTAAGTGCAGAGACCACGGTCCCATCTGCACGGTTGTGGGGCTTACGGTCTCCCCTGGGTATGTCAAGCTGCCGCTGGGGAGAGGGGGTAACAAGCTCCTCTCCCATACATACTTCCAGCCGCGGGGAAGGGAGACCGACTGTCTCCGCTCCCAATACAGAGTCCTGCTGCTGGGGAAAGGAAACTGGTCTCTCTATTCCCTGTAGGACACTCTGCCGCTGGGGAATGGAGACTGAGCTCCCAATTCCCTGTAACACACGTTGCTGCTAGGGGACAGGACCCACTGTCTCTGCCCCCTGTAACTCAGCCTGCCGCTGGGGAAAGGAGACTGGGCTCTAAATTCACTGCAGATCACACTGCCGCTGGGGAGAGGGGGTAGTAAGCTCATCTCCCATACATACTTCCAGCCTCTGGGGAGGGAGACTGACTGTTTCCGCTCCCAATACAGTGTCCTGTTGCTGGGGAAAGGAGACTGGGCTCTCTATTCCCTGTAGGACACTCTGCTGCTGGGGGACATGACCAACTGTCTCTGCCCCCTGTAACTCAGCCTGCTGCTGGGAAATGGAGACTGGGCTCTCAATTCCCTGCAGGACCGGTGGAGAGACCTCGGTCCCATCTCCACCAGCCACCTGGGGTTCTTCCCAGCAAAACTCTACTATCTCGTCCCAGCTGAATGGGTCTGGCTCTGGGTCTGTCACTCTGCTCTCCTGCTGAGCCTTCTCACTGGAGTGGAACAGCTGCTGGTAGCCCTGTTCCAGCTCGATCTCCCGGGTCACCAGGTAGACCAGGTCTTGCTCAATCTCGTGAGTGTCGTCCCAGTCATACCTGCTCTCCCTCCACTCAAAGAGATCACGGAAGTGTAGTGCTCCCAAACTCAGGCTCTGAAAAAGTCTCCCATAACAAACCAGGACCATCAAACTTCTCTCCCTCTGGCTTGTCATACTCGGCTGTCCAGGGCAGGTACTGTGCCCCATACCACCAGAGCGCCTGGTAGGCATCTTCAAGCCACATCTCCTGCCATACCCGGAGCTCCAATTCCTTCACCCATTTCTCCAGGGGCTGCTCTCCCAGGAAGGGCATCCACAGGGCTAGTCGCTTCTGCAATTGCTGGTCTTCCTTAGGGAGTCTCTCGCCCCGCTGGTACTCCGCAATACCCAGTGCCTGGTACCAGATGCCTTTTCGGACTGCATCTCGGTCATCCATGACACCCTCATTGTACTCCACTGCTGGTTCCATCCCAGTGCTGTCAGGGTCGCTGTACTGGGACATGCGTTGCCCTCAAGTTGTAAAATCCACGTAATGGTGTCTCCTGTAGCTGTCCTTCTGGCTGTAGGAACGATCCCGCCGCTTGCCACCAATTGTTATGGCACGCCCAGGCATAAAAGGGTTAAACCGCCGTTTAGAGGATATTCCCTTCCAGATATACAGGCAGCTACTGTAGACACCAAACCACCGAACCGGACAAGCATATGAATGCCGTAAACAACCGAATCTGAACCATACGAACACTGTAAACAGCCGAATAGGGAAAAAAAAACATACGAAAGGTTTACACTCCTAGCAGTCGAACTGGAACAGCATACAATAAATCCCTCCAAGAACGAGACAAAGCTCCGTGTTGAGGGTCAAGCAGTGAACAGACAGAGCTGTGGGTTTATTGTTCTTATATACACATTCTTACACATTAGTACCACCCACAAGGTTTTGGAAAACAACCAATAAACACGTACAATACACTCAGACACTCCCACACAAACACCTCCCCTCTGCCTGTGATACAATTACTTTACACATGGGTAATGTAATTATCACAGGCAGAGAAATACAGTTTTTCCACATTATTCATAATTTTAAAAGTATGCCCTGCCCACAGGGTTTTGAAATACAACCAATCAATCCGTACAATACACACAGACACTCCCACACAAAATCATCCCCTCTGCCTGTGATATGATTACTGAACACAATGGTTAATATAATTATCACAGGCAGAGAAATACAGTATTATAAAACATATCACAGGGACCCCAAAACATGCAATAACCCCATAAAATATATCCTCGGAACTGGGGGATCTGGGTGAACCACATATCCAAAATTCACCCAGATCCGTTCAGTAGTTTGGAAGATACAGTTTAATGCAGATTCTGCAGAACATATACAGGCTATATGAAAAATAATTACTGTATAATGTGTCCCCTGTTGTATAGTTTAAAACTACTGCACGATGTCTTTGTGCACCAAATACCGGTGAGATGGCACCGTGTAGAAAAGTCCAAACAGTGTCTGTGAGTTAAAATGGCCGCCATCCATTGTTCTCACCATGTGCCTCTGATACATGAAATGGTGGCCACCCAGTAACTCCACAGTATGTCCCCAGATGGTTCTTAAAGGTCCAGCAGCAGCACAACACAAATCCATTATGCCCAAATCATGTCTTTAAAGGGGCCATAGTCACATGGCAGGAGGCTGGCAATCAGTCTTCTCCAATGCCCAGTGGCGAGGTCGGTTTCGCCAGACCCCCTCCCAGGGGCCTGTGCATGTGACAAGAACTGCAGTCCCTTTGTCCCCAGTTCCCGCCACCCATCCTCAGGGTTTCCCACCTCCAGGGACCAGGACTTTTTATCCCATGAGCCTCTGTACCTGGGAGTCCCAGCGCGAGAAAGCTTCCCACCTCTGTGACTCTCAGCCACAGAAAGCCCGCCAAACCTCCTTTGTCCCCAAGAGAGTGTCCCCACCAATCTCAGGGATCCCCCCGAACGGTAACTGCCTCGTGGATTCCCTGGGTGAAACCAGGCAAGGGAAGTGTCTCCTTTTGGGACACGAATGCTCTCCCTGGCCGCCGTTCGTCTATACAATCATTAATTACTTCCCTTGAGGTTTCACACTTATCTTGCCAGTTGCCAACCTTCTTAATGATTGGTGTGAACATTACAAGGGGCACTGGGGAGGTCCTCGTTCGGGAACTGAACAAGGTGGGAAGCAATCCACGAATGCTCCCCCTAGATGGCGTTCATCTAACGAACGGTCCAACACTCAAGGTCGGCACACGCCGAGGTTTCCCTTGCGGATTGTGGTTTTGACACCTCGTTACGAGGTGTGAATATTCTAAGAAAATTCTAAATGAGGGTTCGTGGTGGTCACCGTTTGGTAGGCGAACGGAACTCGTTCGTATTGGCTCTCCCAAACACAGGAATATTACACAACACAGTGGAACCACAGGGAATAACACAGAGCAATTCACGAACAGGCAGCAGTACCGTCACAGGGGGCACAGGTAATGGGATAGGGGGAGAAAGGGGGTTCACAGGTAATAACTGCTGGGAAAGTGAGCACAAGGAGGGGCACAGGAAATAGTTGCTGAGTGAGGGGGAGCACAGGTAAATTTTTTTATATATATATATATATAGTTGCTGCTCTCTGTATTATTATTGATATTTATAAGAAGTGGGGATTTAACAATAAATGGGACAAGTACAACATTATACAGGAACAATCGGTAGATGAGGACCCTTCTTAGACAAGTTTGTTAATCTAGACACAGTGACTTATTACCAGCATATATTATTACACTGTACAGTTGCTTCTCTCTGTATTGTGATATATTACCAGCATATATCATTACACTGTACAGCTGCTTCTCTCTGTATTGCGATATATAACCAGCATATATCATTACACTGTACAGTTGCTTCTCTCTGTATTGCGATATATAACCAGCATATATCATTACACTGTACAGTTGCTTCTCTCTGTATTGTGATATATTACCAGCATATATCATGACACTGTACAGCTGCTTCTCTCTGTATTGCGATATATAACCAGCATATATCATTACACTGTACAGTTGCTTCTCTCTGTATTGTGATATATTATCAGTGTAGCGGAGAGCTGGTATTACACAGCCTATCTCTACTTTAGATACGAGGGGCTGTTCGGTAGTTTGGAACCGAACGGACCGGCTTGTGGAGATCTCAGCGGTGTTCGCCTAGTCGAGTGTCCGATTTGACTTCCAGACACTCGACGGCAAAACACCGCTGTTCGGGCGTTTTAAAATGGCCGCCGCCACGTGTTCGTTTCCCGAATGGCGACCACCCCCGAAAACAAAGGACTGCTACTCAGCTTGTCAATTACCCGTTCGCAACAATGTTGCAACGGGTAATTGAAGGCACACTTCACACTGGGGAGGTCTGACACTGGGGAGGTCTAAGGGAATGAAACTACCGAACAATCAGACGAATACAATACATTTAACACATATAACTTTGCCATTTACACGGATGCATTCAAAACATATGTAATTCTCCCTCCCAGTGTTCCCGGATAAGATCCAGGAGTCCCCTTACTCTCCGCCCAAATAGTAACTCAAATGGGGAGAATCCTGTCGATTCCTGTGGCACCTCCCTGTAGGCAAACAGGAGATGCAGCAAAAACCGTTCCCAGTCCCTATGGGTGTCGGCAAAAGTGCGCAGCATTTGTTTCAAGGTCCCATTGAACCTTTCGCATAGCCCATTGGTCTGGGGGTGGTATGGGGCGCTAATAATCGATTTGATGTCACAAAATTTCCAGAGGCTCTGGGTGACTTCCGCAGTGAACTGGGTACCCTGATCCGAGATTATCTCTCTGGGTAACCCCATCCGAGTGAAAATCTGCATCAGGGCCTCAGCCACGGTTTCTGCCTGTATGTTAGTCAGGCCAATCGCCTCTGGATATCGGGTGGCATAATCCACTACAGTTAAGATATACCTTTTCCCAGAGGGGCTGGGTTTTTTCAGGGGTCCTATTATATCCACTGTTACTCTGCTGAACGGTTCCTCTATTATGGGTAGCGGGTGCAATTTTGCCTTCCGCCGGTCCCCTCTCTTCCCTACCCTTTGGCATGTGTCGCACGTGTTGCAGTACCTGCGGACTTCCTGACTAATTCCCGGCCAAAAGAAACTCTGGGTCAGTCGCTGCCGGGTGCGACTGACTCCTAAATGGCCGGATAGCGCACGATACCGTTGGGGTACCACTAGCTGCCTCATCACAATAGGGTCTGACATCGGATTGTCAAACTCCCTGTATAGCAACTGGTTATCTCATACAAATCTTTCGCCCTCCTCTCCCAGCTGGTCTGAGGTGACTTTGTCTCTATAGACCTGTAAGGTGGGGTCGGTGGCTACTTCAGCCGCAAATTAATTAGGGGGAGCCCAAGGGGTACATTCTAAGGTAGGGGAAGGATCTCTTACCTGGACCTCCGGGAGTGTGTTGTAGTCCTGTGTGCCTCTATGGTCGGTGGGGCCTGGGGTTCAAATGCAGACGTCAGTTTGCCCAGATCGTTCCCCAACAAAACCTCCGCTGGCAGCTGGGGCATCAACCCCACCTCCACATTCACAAACCCCGCTCCCCAATGTAAATGTACCCGAGCTGTGGGTAGCCGGTATACTGCTCCCCCAGCTACCCTGACTGCTACTGTTCTGCTGGTCTTGGCCTGGTCAGGTACCAGGTGACTTTTAACCAGTGTGATGGTGGCTCCTGAATCGCGGAGCCCCTGGACTGCTTTCCCCTCCAAGTACACAGTGTGTCTATGATGCTGGCGGTTGTCAGTATTAGCTTGCACAGGATCCGCTTCATGCAATACTTCCCATTGTTCCACTGTGTTTATGGGAATTGCGGTGCCATATGGTCTTGTTGCCTCTGCTTGGTAGTAGTGGGCTGCCTGTCGAGGTGGTGAGGGTAGTCCGGGCCTGATCCAGGTGGAGCGATCTTTTAGCTGCGGGCATTCCCTCTTATAATGTCCCCAGCGTTGGCAATGGTGGCACTGTACAGAGCTAGTTGGTCGAGGTTTCTGTTGTACACTAGCGGGTGGATAAGGAGGTAGTTGTCGTGGTGGCGGTGCGGTGTGGTGTTGGGGTATGGGCTGTTCCCCCCCTAGGGGTCTGATAACCATCTTGATGGGGGCTGGTTTTTGCTGTCTGCGGGCATCCAGGTACTCATCCGCCTTTTTAACTGCTTCTGTGAGGGACTTCGGATTGCGGTCTCTCACCCATTCCTGTATATCATTCTGGATGCCCTCATAGAATTGCTCCAATAGCAACATTTGTAACAAGTCCTCCATAGACCGAGCTTTATTGGACTGTACCCACCCCAGGGCGGCCCGATGTAGCTTGCAGGCCCATTCCACATGAGAGTCCTTGTCATTTCTTTTTAACTCTCTAAATCGCGGCCGATATGCCTCGGGCGTGATTGCATACTGGGCCAGGATCACCTGTTTTACCCTGTGGTAATTCCGAATTTCCTCATCTGGTACAGTTCTATATGCTTCAGCAGCCTTTCCAGTGAGCTTCCCTGATAAAATAGGTACCCATTCCTCTGGACTAATATTATGCAGTGCACACAGTCTCTCAAAATCTTGGAGAAAAGCATCTATGTCCTCCTCTGCTTCTACATATGTTTTAAATGCTTGGTAAGGTATCTTTGTCTTACCCTGTGTGATGGTAGTGGTGGTAGCATTCCTCTCCAGATTCTGTAGTGGCCTTTGGCGCAGTATAAACTCCTGCACCTCTGTCATTGTCCTGGATATAATATCCGCCGTTGGATTCTCTCCATAAAAGGACAGCCTAAACCACAGCTGTCTCTGGAACTCCTCTTGCTCAGATCCATCTGCTGAACTCCGCTGCTCAGGGATCGCCCTGTCCTCATTCTGGTATTCTGCCATCACCTCTGCAATGAGGGTTGCTTTCCTTTTGTTGCTTGCTGCAATACCTTTCGCTTCTAGGAGATCTTTTAGCATGGATCTTTTAAGCTTCGCATAATCACTCTCTATCCGTATTCCATTAGTGCTTGTTCCCTTGTGAGTCTGAATCCCAGCGCTGCCAACCAATGTAGCGGATAACTGGTATTACACAGCCTATCTCCACTTTAGATCCCAGGGAGGTTCAGGAACAAGCAATTATAAATCCATAGGGTAAAGTATTCAGCAGGCAAAATAACACAGCAGTATCCCAACAGCAATCCCAATAACTGGATGACACACAGTATCAGGAGCAGAACTAAAGATTTATTCAGACAGTGGCCTTATAAAGCCTGCTCCCATGCAAGGGAGGGATTTCCATTAATTTGTACAGTAGCCAATCCTGCTCTGGTAACCTCCCACACATCTCCTCCCCTCAGCCTGCATCATAATCCCATTATCCAGGACACCAATACCCCCCTTTCTGGGGGTACCACTTTAAATTATACATCCCCTGGTAGCCCTGATCTGGGTGAACAACATATCCAAAAATCACCCAGATCAGACCAGGGGTTCAGGAAATTTATGGAGGGAATAAAATGACCGACCGAACTGGAAAGATCAGCCGAATGGGGTTCCATGCGATGGGGCCCTGCGGTCGGTCCTGGAGTAAGGGAACAAACTGCACGAAAGCCTCCAGCTACAGAGACTAGGGAGGGTTCGCCTGAATCCCCTCGTTCGGTTGTTTCTATCTACCGAACGAGGGGCCGTTTGGTAGTTTGGAACCGAACGGACCGGGCTTGTGGAGGTCTCAGCGGTGTTCGCCTAGTCGAGTGTCCGATTCGAGTTCCAGACACTTGTTTCCCGAATGGCGGCCACCCCCGAGAACAAAGGACTGCTACTCAGCTTGTCAATTACCCGTTCGCAACAATGTTGCAACGGGTAATTGAAGGCACACTTCACACTGGGGAGGTCTGACACTGGGGAGGTCTAAGGGAATGAAACTACCGAACAATCAGACGAATTCAATACATTTAACACATATAACTTTGCCATTTACACTAATGCATTCAAAACATATGTAATTCTCAGGACAGCCCAGTGCCATCCACTACAACCAGCATATGTCATTACACTGTACAGCTGCTTCTCTCTGTATATTGCCATATTTACATTCTGGTTCCCTTCCACTCCCCTGGGTAGCAGTGACTCTCTGGCAGATGGTAACGCTCTCTCAGTGCGCTCTCTATACATCGATTTCTATGCTCTCTCAGTGCGCTCTCTATACATCGATTTCTATGCTCTCTCAGTGCGCTCTCTATACATCGATTTCTATGTTTTTGTTTTTTTGCAGTGACGGTTGACATTGCTGCAGCGGACTACGGACTATGTTTCCGATGAGGCTTGGACAGGTTTGAAAACTTTGGAAGAAAATTTGGTGGTTTTGAAGATTCCGCAGTAGGAACCTTTGTGTAACGGTAATCTATGCTTATTGTATACTGAAAGCCTTCATATCCACCCTGTAATTTGGTGATCGATTCTTTAACGAAGATCTGTAGCAGCTGTGGTTTCCAGCCTGCAGAGTATGAGGACACAGAGCAGAACTCTGTCATTCCACATAGAATCGTATCACAATATTCACTGCTTGTCTGTGTCCTTACAAAGGAAATGTATTGCAATTCAAACCATGTGCCATGATCCCACCGGGCAGGATACCTAGCCCTTGGAAGAGATAGGTTGCTACCCTTCCTCATTGGTGGGATATTCAAGTCTTCTTGATGAGCATCTTAAACCACACAATACTCACTGCGATCCCATCCAAGCTATAACAGCTGATTGAATAGTGCAGCACATTGTATACAGTAAGATGTGGTAGCTTGAGAGACTAACTTGAATAATTTAGAATTGAGATATAACAGTTGTGGGGAGGGTGGAGTTCAATCATGCTAATTACTTTTTGTGTTTTTTCGTCTGTATTTTGTTTGTCAGTTGTCAAAGTACTACAAGCCACCTTTGACGTTACTGACTTTCCTAAAGCATGATTAGATTAATGTCCACGTGAGCTTTTAAAAATAAATAAATAGTCTACAAGCATACATGCAGCTTTAACGTGGTGCAAGAAGTATATAGTGTGACAGTAGTTCCTTCAGCTACAAGCTAAATAATGGGGAGAATCAACATGGAAAAGAAATGATACTATGTGTGCAAACTGCTAAATGTTGAGAGACATTCTATTGGTTCCCATGGTGATTGCTCCTTATTTTGCACTTTATTTGCTCCCCCAAGAAACTGCCTGTAGTTGTACCCCTCCCCCAATACGCTATCTGTAGCTGTTCCCCCTCCCCTATAGTAGCTGTACCCCCTCCCCCAATACTTTGCCTGTAGCTGTATCCCCCCCAATATGCTACCTTTAACTGTATCCCCTCCCCCAATATGCTACCTGTAGCGTTTCCCCCTCCCCCAATAAACTGCCTGTAGCTGTACCCCCTCCCTCAATAAATTGCCTGTAGCTGTACCCCCTTTCCCAAAAGCTACCTGTAGCTGTACCCCCTTTCCCAATACGCTACCTAGAAACATAGAATGTGACGGCAGATAAGAACCATTCGGCCCATCTAGTCTGCCCAATTTTCTAAAAACTTTCATTAGTCCCTAGCCTTATCTTATAGTTAGGATAGCCTTATGCCTATCCATGCATGCTTAAACTCCTTTACTGTGTTAACCTCTACCACTTCAGCTGGAAGGCTATTCCATGCATCCACTACCCTCTCAGTAAAGTAATACTTCCTGATATTATTTTTTAAACCTTTGTCCCTCTAATTTAAGACTATGTCCTCTTGTTGTGGTAGTTTTTCTTCTTTTAAATATAGTCTCCTCCTTTACTGTGTTGATTCCCTTTATATATTTAAATGTTTCTATCATATCCCCCCTGTCTCGTCTTTCCTCCAAGCTATACATGTTAAGATCCTTTAACCTTTCCTGGTAAGTTTTATCCCGCAATCCATGAACCAGTTTTAGTAGCCCTTCTCTGAACCCTCTCTAAGGTATCAATATCCTTCTGAAGATACGGTCTCCAGTACTGTGTACAATACTCCAAGTGAGGTCTCACCAGTGTTCTGTACAATGGCATGAGCACTTCCCTCTTTCTACTGCTAATACCTCTCCCTATACAACCAAGCATTCTGCTAGCATTTCCTGCTGCTCTATTACATTGTCTGCCTACCTTTAAGTCATCAGAAATAATCACCCCTAAATCCCTTTCCTCATATGTTGAGGTTAGGACTCTATCAAATATTCTGTACTCTGCCCTTGGGTTTTTACGTCCAAGATGCATTATCTTGCACTTATCCACATTAAATGTCAGTTGCCACAATTCTGACCATTTTTCTAGTTTACCTAAATCATTTGCCATTTGGCTTATCCCTCCTGGAACATCAACCCTGTTACATATCTTAGTATCATCAGCAAAAGACATACCTTACCATCAAGACCTTCTGCAATATCACTAATAAAAATATTAAAGAGAATGGGTCCAAGTACAGATCCCTGGGTACCCCACTGGTGACAAGTCCAAGCTTCGAATATATTCCATTAACTACAACCCTCTGTTGCCTGTTACTCAGCCACTGCCTTACCCATTCAACAATATTTGAATCTAAACTTAAAGATTGTGATACCGGAGAAACTGACGGAAGCAAAGCACAGAGGGATGGACACAGGTTTCTTCAGGAAGGAAGAGATTCTTTATTGGATCACCGATCGGGACTCAGAGGGACTAATGTCACCAAAAATACAGCAAGTTCTGAGCCCTGAACAATAGTGCAGGCTCCCTATATAGGCACATAACTCCTCCCATTAATAGCTACACCCACATATACCTTTAACCAATCAATGAGCAGAATATAGACTTGTACATCTAGTCAAACCACATGGCTCATCCAAGACAAAGGAAATAAGTGCAATTTCAGTTCCTGCATTCCTGCACATGCTCAGTACACTGATGACAGTATCCTAGCTACATGTAGCTAACCAACTGACACAACATACACATATGCCACATGGAGATTTTGGCCTACTAAATTTTAACCATGCTGGAATCCCATCACATTCCCCCCTTTGATGCCTCTTGATATTTTACAATTACTTGAGGCATCACTTAACCTTTGTTTGCATACACCACAAGTTACCTTTGAACCAGACCAGACTTATCCTATGATGTGAATCTTCAACACTCGTCTTCCTGCATTGGTTCTCCCTGATCTAGAGCCTTATATTTATAAATTGCCATTATCTGTGCAGCAGCCTTCCTCTCTGCTATATTTTCTATCAGGCTTTGCACAGACCTAACTACTAAGGGTATAAGACACGGCAGGAGTAGACACAACATTAAAATCAGTAGGACTCCACCTACCACTGCCTTAAGCCCTCCAAACCACTCATACCAGCTACCAAACCAACTACTTGGATTGTACCCTTTCCATACCTGAGTAGGCACATGCGCTAGTTTAACCATGTGGCTTGTAAGTTCAGCTATTGCTTGCCCTTCGTCATCTATTTGAAGACAGCAATTGCTCAGGTTAAACTTCCCACATACACCTCCCTCTACTGCCAAAAGATAATCCAAGGCTAATCTATTTTGGTAAACTGCTGTCCTCATCCTGGTATTATGCTTCGCTAGAAGATTGAGCGCTTGTGATGTCTCGTTAGTAATGATCTCAACCACCGCCTGTAACCTTATAATGCGGTTGAGCATATAAATAGGGGTTCTATAACCAAAGGTACCATCCTCTGCCCACGTGGCTGGCCCATAATAATCTATAATACGCTGGGAAGGCCATTCATTATCTTCCCTATCTCTATGGGTCCCCTTTTCTTCCTATGATTCACATCATACACTTTAACACCTAAAGTCTCACCTGTTTCAATAGGCAACAAGAAGAAAGATGGCTTTGGCATACCTAATACACATGCCCCTTCCCAATCTTGTGGTAACTCCGAATAAGTTTTCTTACCACAAATCCAGTGTAAATTTGCTGGGGCTTTCCAGTTAGATGTGATGGATAGATCAAACCATATGTCCTTTAAATTGGCATATCTTGCAAACGGGTTAGATGGTTCTGAGACATTTGAAGCTGACCACCAAGTAGTATTTTTAGTATTAACATTATAGGCTTTTTGTCCCAAGCACGTTAGCTCACCTACAGACGTGTTATACATTGTCCCTTTCCTGGCTATACAAACATGACCTATAATGGAGGTTTTTAACCACCATTCCAATTTACTTCTAGTACTTACTTGATGATCAGACTGGAAAGGTATCTGTTGTTCATATGTCTCAGAGCCAGGGTACCATATTTCCTTTGCCTCCCATGGCCACTGGTCTCCCATATTAGTACCTCCACACACATAGCAATTAGTTACATTAAGACTACCTGCAATACCCTCAGCCAAATCAATAAATAGGTTGTTAACATTATGGGGAATTTTATCCTCAATACTCCTCTCCTCATAGAAGGAATGAGAAACCTGATGAGTTTGAGTTGCCACTGTCTCAGTTTCAAGACCTACATATATTATTGTTCCTGAATCTACTCCTGTGCCATATATTTGGACCCAAACAGACCTCCAAACCTGTCAATAAAGTACTGCAGATTGGAAATGGTCATGTGAACGGGGTTACACACATAGTTTTACAGTATGGTGTGGTAGGCAACCTTTGGATAATCATATCTTGATCCACTGTTTTTCCCAGGTTGCCCAACCTACACATGACCAATAGGGGCAGAAGTTAGTCTCTATTTGGGCAATCAGGATCAGTAGATCTTTTACTGGGACATAAGTATTTATCATTAAACCCATAAGTTCGTTCCCATTTAAGATTACCACATACATTCCAAAGTCTTCCACTACCCGAAATCGCCTTACATGCATCAAATAGTAGAATACCCGCGGAATGTATGGTGCTTATCACAGTCCTATTTAGTAATGTCCCCTGGGAGTTACTATTCCGAATTACCAACCAAACTGTACGGGGTTGGAAATGGGGATCAAAACATTTAGACTCTCCTGATATTGGCTTGCACACACTATAATCAAAATCCAAATATCTACATTTAGATACAGATCCCTTACATTCATACTGTGAGTGCCAGATGAAAGTTTGGGATATTTGGTTACCTGTTTTAGTAGTCTTAATGCAACTATCGCAATTCGGTATGTCTGTACTCCTACCTTCCTGAAAAATCATAAAAATACTAAAACACAATAAAACACATTATTCCTGAAATCCTCATTTTTCTTCGACCGTGCGATGGCCTCTCAGCTTCCCGATTGTGAGGGCTGCAAGGATGTTGTTCTTCTGATCCTCACTTTCCTTCACAGAGATCCCTTCAAGATACTCTGGCTATGACACGTAGGCAGGTGGTCAGGCTTTATTATGGCCGTCAAAACACCTACTTGATGATCTTTGTAGACTTTTAATTAGAATGTCTCGCTATCCCCTCGTCACTCCGACTGAGTTGCACGCTTCAACCGGGTCCTGCAAGGATTCTCAGGATCTGGAGTAGTTTGCCAAGAGTCTGCTGCTGGTTTAACCTTAGAATGATGAATCCAAGGAGTCACTTTCGCCACCTTTACAGCTGTTGGGGTAGATAAAAGAACAACATACAAAGGCTAACAGGATACACCCCGAGCTTTAACTCAATATGTATTGGTGGGATATTACGAGCAAGTCCTGGAGGATTATTTTCTTCCCATACTCCTGGAATGTCAAATAAGGATTCATCACTCTTAGGGTTAATACTTGTCACTATGGAATAGAAGCGTCATTCTTCTTCCCTTGGCACCGATATCACCATTATGCCTGGTAATCCCTTAAACTTCAGAGATGTTAATCCATTAGGTAAAAGGTTATCTGAGCTTAAAGCTTCGATAATAGATCTCGTCCTAAAAGTTGAATCGGACACTCTGGCATATATAGGAACTAATGCTTCACCACAGAATGTTCAGCACCTGTGTCGATCATGAAAGAACTTCTCTTTCCCCCTATTGCTACATCGACCATAGGCTCCGCTCGACCAAGTGGGATGGAGCCCGGTCGGTATCAATAGTCTTCCACGATAGTGTCAGCCAGACCCACAAAATCTCTATCCTCTCTTTCTCTAGGTCTCTGCGTGGGTGGATAGTATCTGTCTCCTTGAACACTTCCTCTACTATTCCCACCATTCCCTCTAAAACTTCCTCTTACTCTATAACTACCACTATAACCTCCTCGTACCCTTCTCTCTCCTTGTCTATCACCTTCATACTGCTCTCTCTGTGGACACTCACTCTTCCAATGTCCCTCCTTTCTACAATACGCACATTAATTCCTACTTAAAGGTCCCTTGCTCAGCCTATTCTCGTCTCCTCTATTCACTTCCCTGTCTTTCTACACTTAAGATAGCTACCGCTAGCATATCTGCCTTTTTCCTCATTTTACGTTCTTCCTCCATCTCCCTATTCATATATACTGTATTTGCAATCTCCATTAGCTGTATTATGGACATCCCTACAAATCCCTCTAATTTTC